ACATTAGCCTGTCTTTTAAAGAACCTCTAAAATTGCCTTCTAATAATCTGGAATACACTTTTTAAAATCAGAGATGCAAGAACATTTGCAACTAAACCTGGTACATCCTATACAGGAATATTATTCAGTCTTAAAAAGGAAGGAAATTCTGACATACGCTACAATATGAATGAACCTTGATGATATTATGCAAAGTGAAATGAGTCGGTCACAAAAAAGCAAATACTGTTTGATTCCACTATATTAAGTACTTAGACTAGTCAAAATCATAGCGACAGAAAGTCGAATGGTAGTTGCCAGAGGCTGGGGGCAGGAGAAATGGGCAGTTATCGTTTAATGGGTACAGAGTTTCAGTTTTGCAAGACAAAAGAGTTCTGGAGATGGTTGGTGGTGGTGGTTGCACAAGAATGCGAATGTATTTAATATCACTGAACTGTACGCTTAAAAATAGTTAAGAGGCCGAAACCGGTTTGGCTCAGTGGATAGAGCGTTGGCCTGCGGACTGAAAGGTCCCAGGTTCAATTCCCGTCAAGGGCATGTACCTTGGTTGCGGGCATATCCCCAGTGGGAGATGTGCAGGAGGCAGCTGATCTATGTTTCTCTCTCATCGATGTTTCTAACTCTCTATCTCTCTCCCTTCCTCTCTGTAAAAAATCAATAAAATAAAAAAAATTAAAAAAAATAGTTAAGAGAATAAAGCTTATGTGTATTTTACCATAATTTTAAAATTTGGGGGGGCAAACATGTGCAACTATTTGGAAGAACCAAGGATACCAGTGAAGAAATAGATACCCCCCCCAAAAAAAGATAGATTGATGTGTCTATCTCTCCCTCTCGCTTCCTCTCTCTGAAATCAATTAAAAAAAAATGTTGTAAAGAAAGAGCTGGGAGAGGTAGAAGAACAAGTACAATCCCCAAAGGAGCGAAAAACTATTCACATTCAATGCAGGTATGCAAATTGAGTATATGCATAGGTGGCACCCCAAAAAAGTGAGTATTCTCATTAAATTTTACTAATTTTAAAAGGGCTTAAAAATAGTATCAAGAGTTGCTCTGCAATTTAATTAAACTAGCATCTTAAAAAATACATGTCTATGAAGATATAATATATAAAGAACTTACTATGCTCTACCATCAGAGACTACATAATAAAGGAAATTTTTTTTAAAAGAATAAAAGCCTGAAAATTTTACTAGCTGAAATAATTATTCATCGTTACAAATCCTAACGGTGAAAAGGAATACTTGAAGGTCAAAAGCAATTTAAGTAATCTAGAAAGGTTATCAGTAAATGAAATGGCTCATTCATCCTTACTGTGTAAATGTTACATTGTAGAAATGCCAACCTAAGAATGCCACTCTGATTATCTGCATAATCACTACAAATCAAAGCTCTGACAAGTCCTGCATTTTTTAATAAACTGTCCTTCAGTAGTAATAGTAGGATCATTTCATATTTTGTCCGGAAACAAAATGTGATTTCAAAACACTCACCTGAAAGTAAGTATTTCCCCCTCCCTGAGATTAATACTAAGAATTGTCACTGCCTTAGGAAAACAAAAAGAGAGGCTATAATGTTGTACTGCTTAAATAATAAAAATAGTTCCGCCATTATTAATGGCTAAAAGAAAAGAAGGTCAATAATAAGCAATATACGGTGCTTTAATGCTGTGCAGAAACCAAGAGAAGATAAAAACCAGAGACAAAGGCTAAGTTGGGTTTTGCTTCGCATAACATTTCTTTGATTATACTGACCCCTGGTGGCTCTTTGAAGACTTTTTTTTTTCTTTTTTAATAAAGGTCTAATTTTTTCTTAGTTGTATGCACTAATATTAAACCTGGCGGAGAAATCCTTTCACAATGTATACAAATCACATTGTACATTTTAAATATCCTACAGTCTTATTTTTCAATTATTCCTCAGAAGTTGGAGGGGATGGGGGGATATTATATCACCAATAATGAGTATTTGATCTACATGCTGTCTTCAAAAGAATAAGGATGATTATAGAATGTGGAAGAGAGAAAATTATATTTAGTTCAAGACATATGACTACTTGAAAGCTTTTGTATATTCATTTAATAAATACTGACTTCTATGTTCAAAGCACTAGGTCCCAGGGGTACAGGGATAAACAAGCCCCCAAAGACTATAATCTGTAATGTACCATCAATTCAAAGGGACCTGAATGAACCAAGACGAGCACAGAGTGCTATGGAAATGTCTAGAGAGGTTCATTCATTTTACAATGACTGGAGGGCAAAATCAAGTTGCGTGAAAAACAGTGTTCCAGGGGACAGCACAGAAAGGCTCTGAGATAAGACAGGCTGGTAAGTCTGAGAAACTTAAGGGATATGTGTCTAACGCATGGAGATCAAGGGTAAAGGTAGCACTTAACTGAAGAGGAAGGCTAAAGAGGTGAGCAAGGCCAAATTTCGCAAATGTTTTTAATTGTTTTAGTACCTAAATTTTCTTCCCCCCACCCCCCACCTAAGCCATATGATAGGTCAAGTCCACAAACCAGAAATCCTATAAATCTTCCCACCTACAATCTCATATCTTCTAGAAGTCTTTCTCTACTATTGTTTCCTCTTCTCTCCTCTGGTACTTATTCTGTTCACCATTCACTGAACAAATTAATCTCTCAGAGGCCACCACTTACCTGAGACTTCCCTGCCTGGTCATTGCGCTGGGTGCTTTCCGAATGGACCAGTGATGGACACCTGGCCCCGGGAAGCCCATCTACCCATGAAGATGCTTGCTTGTAAGGTTTTAAGGACAGTGGTTATTTCGCTGAGCCAATGCGCCCGTGAAAGATTTGGACCAGAGAACACCTTAAGGGTTGTCAGAAGTGTTTGAAGAAAATGGAGCAGACCATAAGAGACAGAGGGAATCCTGGTCCCCAAAACGCTGGTGCTCATCCTTACAATAAATCCTCTTTATCCCAAGGTGGTCTCAATGGGACTCCATCCTTGGAGGCACAGGATGGACCTCGCTAACTCAGCACCTTACCGTTCTACTGCCTTCTGTTTCTCTGTCACCACGGTGTCATATAACTTTCATCATATTATTCTCCTCACCATAGGAAAGGTCTTTGAAAACAGAGATCACATGTTTAGCTTCCTTGTATTCATCACAGCACTATAAGCCCTCAACACATATTGGATGGATGGATGGATGGATGGATGGATGGATGGATGGATGGATGGATGGTTGGATGGATGGATGGATGATGGATGAACAAACCAAAACGAATTCCAAAAGACTTTATAGTGAAATCAAAAAGTGGGAACTGAGAATAAAACCTAACTCCTTAAACTCACAATATGCTCCCTAATCCTCGAACCCCATCATTCTCCATATACTCCAAACGTCTCCCAAATCCCAGACAATGAGGCTCTCTGCCTCTGCACAAATCCTCTCTCCTAAGTCTCACAAATGTCTGCTCTTTCCTCCTTCTCTACAAGTTCAGTTGTCTACTCCCCCAGGGTCCATCACCCCTGCTCCAGGTGTCCATTCCTCCTTGTACATGCCTCTACACATTCTCATTTCCCATCTGTCTCCCTTTCCTGGTACAACCTCCCCACAAGCCCAGCTGCTCTTCATCTTTATGCAGATGCTCAAAAAACAGGTGCTAACTAAGGTGACAAGTTCTGTTTTTAGGATGTGGTTCCAGAAAATGTTAACCAAAAGGAAAACCTGTTTACTTTTTTATGTATTAAGTACTTGGTACTTTTATCTTACCTCAGGTCTAATGCTAATGAATGCTTATTCCTTCTAATACAGTGGTTCTCAATGGAGGAGGGGAGGGCATTCTCCCCCAGGACACATTGGTGGAGTCTGGAGACATTTTTGATTGTCACAACTTGGAGAGAGGGGAGACCACCCCTGGCATCTAGTGGTTAGAGCCCAGAGATACTGTTAAATGTCCTCCAGTGCACAGGACAGCGCCCACAACAAAGAATTTTTATCCCAAATGTCAATAGTGAGAAGCCCTGTTCCAACAGAAGGTCTTATTCACAAATTTATGTTAATAAATTCCAAAGGGGGAAAAATGAGGAAACATTCAATGGATCTTCAAACATCACTCGGTGATGCACAGGAGAACACCTGAATCACAGATGGTATTCTAATGCCCCTGCCTGATTAGATCCCGGAGCTACAGGAGTTAGCAGCAAATAAAGGAAGCAGGTGGAAGAGTTGGGGGGAAAGAAGGACCTGGGAACAGAAGACTGATGTGGCTGTTTAAAGTCATTGTGTTTTATGGAAGCATGGAACAGAGTGCAGAATCTGGGAGGGAAGGCGGGGGAGGGTAAGTGGGTGGGAAATAATCAACCAAAGGCCTTGTATGCATATATGCATAATCCATGGACACAGAGGCATTCCAATCAAGGGCATGTACCTTGGTTGTGGTCAAATCCCCAGTGGGAGGTGTGCAGGAGGCAGCTCATCGATGTTTCTCTCTCATCGATGTTTCTAACTCTCTATCTATCTCCCTCTCCCTTCCTGACATCAATAAAAATATATTTTTAAAGAAAAAAATAAATAGCTATATTTTTTTAAAAAAATAAAGTAAAATAAAATAATAAAATTAAAAATAAATAATAAAGTCACTGTGTTTTAAAACAAAAATAAAAATAGGAGTCATCATTCTGAGACATAAAATTTGCTAAATAACGCCTATGTACTCATTACTTAGGTTTAAAATACTCAATATATGCAATAAATAAGTAAAATAAACATCACTTAATCAGTTTTATACTAAAAGGTGAAATGTTTTAACCTTGAAACATTATAGAAAAAGACAACAATGATTAAAACTCATACATTATAATTAAGTTAACCCATTTAGAAACATAGTAAATTAAAAAACACTTAAATTGTCTGGATGTTCAGATTAATGTTTTTCTGTTCATTGAGTAAATGACTTTGGATATACTGCCCCACCTGACCTATTTAAATCAGTTTAATGCTCCCCCTAAAAATATATTCATACTCACATTCACTTGAACTTGAATGGACCATTCACCAAGTATTGGATGGGAAGATAATTGAAAAGTTTTGGAAACGACTCCAAAGTCACTTTTTTCTGACAACCACTGTTGGATCAAATTTGACTTGGGGTCCTACAATGAAACACATACATGTTAACTATATAAAAGCTGCCTGTATACATACAGACACTATCTACTTATGAACAATCCCATCAGCATCGATGTATTGTTTGTTCCAAAATATGGCACAGATATCATTTTTGAAAAAGATGTCAGCTCTATACCACTAAAGAAGACAAATCAAAGTTTCTTCTTTGCTTATATTCTCCTGAGAATAGCTTGATTCTTCTCACCCTTTTAATTCCAGGCATCATGTGTCTTCTACATGAAACACTACAACATGTACATCAGCAAACCTGTGTTGTTGTTGTTGTTGTTGTTGTTGTTTAAAAAGATTCCACTGTACAGATAACAGGCTCCATGTATTAAACGCCCACTATGTGTCAGGCACTCTGCCTGATCATTATCATTCATACACCATTCAATCACTAAAATTCTCCTTCGGGGTAGGATTATCTAAAAATATAGTTGAGAAAACTGATGCCTAGAGATGTTAGGTAAGTACTCAACTATAAGCGATTAGCATGGTCCAATATTACAGCACTATTACATGGTGGAATTCATGATTCAAGCCCATTGTCTTTTAATTCAATAATAGAATAACCAAGGGGATGTATGAAAAACACTTGCTTTATTCCTATACTCTCCCAGACAACAATCCCCTCTCACACCATTCATCTAGCCAACCAGCAGTCATCCCTGATTCCTCTGACATTCCCAGTCCTATCATCTCTGTCTCTCTGCTGTCTCCCTAACTTTTCTGCTTTTCATGCCCCATACAGCCACCAGGTGCTTGTTTTCTAACTATTGCAGATCATCTCTCTCTTCCATTACATCTTCCCTACTGCTAACTATGTTATCCCAGAACACAAATCTGAGACTGAGGCTAAGTGGCAGAAATAGTCGGCACAACTCCTGGCATATAATCAGCAGTGAGTAAACAGTGGCTATGATCATTCTCTTAGACCACTGGGTAACTATAGCTTTTGTTTACCTACAGAATGAGTTCTACGCTGCTTCGCAGAGTATAGGAGGCTTAGTAAACTGACCCCCTTTCCATTTCTAGGCTCATCTTCCTCCAAGCCTACAGATTTGTTTGCATTTTACCCCAAAGGCATCTAGGTCTCTACAATTGCTGCATGGGATGCCCTCCCTTCCTTGTCCAGCAGGTGAAATAAGCTCACGTCTTGCTTCCAACAGGCAAAGATGACCACCTCCTGAAAGGCCCCTAGGAAACCTGGAGTTATCTCTCTTGAATACATATTACTCTTTAAAGTATTCAATAGTCATCTGGAGGGGCGGGGGTTTGGTGTTTTGTTTGTTCCTGACTAGACTGTGAACTCCTGAGCAGAGATCAAACATTTTCCCATATTCTTATTCCCTGTTCTTTGATTAGAGGCAATGGGTTGGTCGAGATATTCAAAGCCAGAAGAAATCTCTCCCCCCGAGTGAGGGAGGAGGTGAAAGTCAGGAGCAAGCACAATGCTGAGAACTGAGGAGCCAGAAACTAATTGTTAAAACCAAAGACCAAAAGCCCGTCAAGAAGAAGCAGGTCACCGTCCGTGGCCAACTTGCGGGGCGGGCATTGTGACCAGCAGCTGGCTCTCCTCTGCCTGCCCCAGCACGATGCATGGGAGGACCATGGAGTTAAAGGCTCAAACACAAATAGCTAATAAATATGTGCTGTCTAATAATTCTAAAAAATGCAACTGAAAACAATGCGGTACCATTTTTCTTCTGTCAGACTGACAAAGATAAACAAGCAATAGCGATAACTCCCAGTGCTCTTGAAAGCATAGGGAAAGGAGTGTTCGTTCTCTGCTGATGTGTCACTTTGGTGAGGCTGCACGTTTCTCCCAGGTGGTGTCATGGCCCTACGAACCAAGGAAGTCCGAACTGAAGTCTTTGACAACTTTGCACTGGCTGTGTGGGTCCCAGCAGGAAGTGACCCCTTGCAAATGGTGGGTTCTGCTGTGATGCCACCATGCATGGCCTGTTGAAATCCCGATGTGCTGTGCAAAGACTACTGGTGTTTCTGCATTCTCTATGTCTTCCTGTTGGTGACAGGGGTAGGTCCAGGGGTAGGTCCTGTTGGTGACAGGGGTAGTGACAGGCTTGAGAAACCAGAGGGATTATCTCATTCATTCCCAATCTTCCAGATCCTCCATGTGCAAAGTCGTCAAAGATTTCAGTTCGGACTTCCTTGGTTCATAGGACCATTTGCAAGGGGTCACTTCCTGCTGGGACCCACACAGCTAGAACAGCTGCACGAGGAGAAGCTGGAAACGCTGCCCCTCATGCCCTTTAAGTAACGTCTGGATGGCTCTGGCTCTCCATCAGCTGCTCCCACAGCACAGTGCCAGCTGCCTGTGCCAGGCTATCTTGAGCAGTGCACTCCCTGGCTGAAATATGTATCCGCAGGGAGTATTTCTGCCACACCCTGGAGTCCTGGAATATGCACACACTGACTGTCCAGCATGTGGAATTAGAGAAGTCAAATCACTTAAACAAGGTGCCCTCACCTGGCCAGGAATGAGGTTCTGTTTTAACCACTGCTGCTCCAGGCCAGAATGTCATGGCACAGTGAGGATGTGTCCCCATGCCAACACCTCTTCCCACATAAGGTCATTCACCTGTGCCAGGAGGAACAACTCCTTCAAGAACAGAGGTCAAGGTAGAAGCCAGCTGTGCCAGCTTCCACCACAGTGTCCAAGGCACTTACTGCAATAGTATTAGGCCAGATTGCCTGGAAGAGGCCAAAATTAGGGCAGAATTGGACATGCTTTTCCCACTGCTGAAAGGCCTCTAAAACCCCTTTCCTTCCTGAAAAGATCTGTTACTGGATCAGAAAAAAGTGAATAAGACCCAATGATTTAAAAAAACAACAACACTGACTATTCTGTGACATGCAATATAGCTACATCCTATGGTCAGCCATTCTTGGCTGAGCAAGATGGGCCACAACAAGTCAGCTGGGAGAGAGAACCAAGATGGTGGTGTAAGCAAATGCCTGTACTCGCTGCCTCCCTCAACCACATCAAAATTACAACTAAAATACAGAACAACCATCATCCAGAACCACTGGAAAGCTGGCTGAGTAGAAGTACTACAGCTAGAGAAGTAAAGAAGAAAGCACACTGAGCCTGGTAGAAGGTGCAGAATGGGCTGGTCCGGCACTCAGATGTGCCACTTTTTTAATCAGGAGGAAGACCACCAGGTGTGCTAGGAGGAGCAAGGGGTCTCAGCCCCACACCAGATGCCCAGCCCAGGATCCCAGAGCTGGGAAAAAGAAGTCATTACAGGCAGTAAGAGCTACGGGCTGTAAAAACCAGTGCAGATTGGGGCTGAGTGACACACAGGCTGCTGGAGACCCAGCTGCTCCTCTTAAAAGGCCAGCACCACAAACTGAAGTTACAAGCTCCAGCTTCCTCTGAGTTCCAGTGTTGGTCAAGGCTCTGGGGGACCCAGACACATATGAGGAGAAACCGGACTGTCTGGCAACGGGGCAGGAACTCGGAGGTGGCTTTCTTCCAGACAGAGGTGCTCGCAGAAGTCATGTTCCTATGCTGGGACCACCCTACTGCAGGGCTGACTGGCAGTCATTTCTGTTTGCCCTGGTGATTGCCTGAGACCCTACCCCACCCAGTTTACAACCCCACACAAGCTGTGGGCAATGGCTTTTGCATATAAATGGCCTGTCCTTTATCAGGCTAAAAATCTGTCAAACAAGCTGCATCTGGGTCAAGCAGCCCCAAAACTATCAATAAAAGGCCCAAGACCCGGCACCAGCACCAGCCTGCCTTGCTTCACAGCTGGGTCTTGTCTGGGCACTTCCAAACCAAATACAAAGAGGAGAAATCTGCAGATCTCTCTGTAGCTCCTGTTGGGTGGCCCCAGGCAGTGGCTGACTTTGCACCTCCCTGGAGACCCAAGAGCCAGTGTACCCAGTGGCCAGTGTCAGACCATACCAGATTACAATTCTACACATCCATAAGTGACACACTCAAGGGGCAGACTCAGTGAGCACCAAAGCCCCACTGAAGCAAGTCCTACTCCATAGGGGTATTTCCTGCACAGCAATAATCCCACTGTAGTTGAAGTTGGTCTTCACAACCTGTTGGCTTGGAGGTCAATTCCTCCCAGAGATGCGAATAGCAATCAAGGCTCAACTACAACAAGACTGCACAAAGACCACAAA